CCTCCCCCTCCATGTGGCTTTAGCTTTCTCTGTCTGGGTGCTCTGTTCCATTGCAGCCCTGTGTGGGGGGAAGGGGTGATGATCCTTTTGGGGGAAGATGAGCTTGCCCAGTTGTGGCAGTTCGCAGGTGCCTGGTCCTTCCTGTGACACCCCCTCCAGCCTCACCCACTACCATAGCAGCCTGGGCAGGGTTTTACTATTTCACCATCGCTCACCCTCTGTCATGTAGACTGTGCACGGTGTCCATTGCCATCCTGGGGACACCAGGGGCATGTGAAGTTGGGCGGTGCTTCCTTAAAATTTACTCTGTGCCAGCCCTGGGGCCACTTCCACTCCAGAGCAGTGGGGAAGGGCGCTTCAGGGCTGGCTAGAGCGGTCATTATGCATGGCAGAGGGCATAGCCATGATGCACCAGGGCCCTGGCAGGTGTGCCCAGCCTGGCCTCTGCTGGCCCTGCCTGGGGTGTATCTGTTAGCCCAGCTCCACCTTCTCAAAACCCAACCTTTGTCCTAGGCTGTCCCAACTTTGGGCCTTTTGTCATCAAGTGAGAAAAGGTTTGTGCAATTCACTGCAAATCTAGCCTAACCTGTGGAAAAGAAAATGACAACCCATCTGGTAAACAAAATACAACCCATCTCTATTGAGCTTTTGAGTATTTCTGAGGAAGCCAGGTCTCTCTCTTCAGTGTGGAAATGGTTCCCGTGTGTTACGTGAGTTCTAAAGGCCTGTGGGTTTGCATCTGTTTGTCAGTAGTGGCAATAATGACTGTTTTACTTCTTTCAGGTTCAGTAGATGAAGTTTTTAACTTCAGTCTGTCACCCAGATCATCTTTGACGGAGCCTCTTTTGGCAGAATTACCTTTTCCAAGTGTTCTGGAATCAGAAGAGACACCTAACCAATTTGTCTGATCAGACTGAACATCAGGTCCAGTCTAGTTCCTCCTATACTCCAGGCCAACTGAAGGTTGAGGGGAGGAGGGAGGAGGTGGGAGGCAGGCCTTCCACCCTCTGGTCCATCCCTCTGGTTTTCGGAGCTCTCCTCTCACATTTCCGTGGGTGCCCCCCTGGCAGGCCCCATTCAGCTGACTTCAGGATGGGAAGACACTGTCCCCATGGCCAGGTATCTTCTCCTTTGAACACTTCTCCAAAGAGGCAGAGGGACCAGAGGGGTTCTGCCACCCTGAGTGCTTTGCATAGGATATTGGCATCCTAGGAGTTTCCCTGGCAGCCTCTGCAGGACCAGTCTGACTTGGGCATTGACGATGATGCTTCATAAATCAGGGTTTGGCCCTCTGCTTGGGACACCCTTGTCTGAGCCTGAACTCAGCCAGCAGCGGGTTAGCTGTGCTGTTCTCTTGCAAACTTGCCTGGGCACCTTTCACTGGAAGGCAGTTATGTTTCTCATCCTGCTTTTAGGAGAACCATTCCAGGTAAGGTTTGCTGGCAATTAGCCAGGTTGGCAGGATGGCAACCCTGCCACCTGCTACCTAAAATGCCAGCTCTCTTGGTCTCCCTCTTAGCAAAGTGGCCTGTGTAGGAAGAGGCCAGGTGATGTGCAACCAAACAGTGATCAGGGAAGGAAAATGATTATGACCATGTCCTCTTTATTGAAAGCACATTATGTCAGTTGGGTATTGTTTTTACTTTTTTATTGAATTTATGGGGGTGACATTGGTTAATAAAATTAGATAGAGGTTTCAGGTATACAGTTCCATAACACATCATCTGTATATTGTATTGTGTGTTTACCACCCCAAGTCAGGTCTCCTTCCATCACCATTTATCCCCCCATACCAGTTGGGTATCTTCAATAAGCTTTTTAGCATTCCTAACACTAAAAGCAAAATAAAATAAAACTATAACATTACCACAGTACATTGTTACATCAATTCCTTTCTCAGCTCATAGCTACAATGGAATTCTTCAAAAAGAAAAAAAAATCCTATCTATATATAAAACCTGCATGAGGGATCACTCCATATGCCTATAATGAGGAAGACTTCTGGGTCCTGAGTGCAATTTTTCTATCCTTTTAAAAGTCCCTGTATTTCATTAGTCTTTTATATTTGAAATATTATGTACTATCTTTGTGCAATTAAAACTTTCTTATTATTCAACATAGAATTGACTAATTTGTGACCAAGTATGTGTGTGTATCTTTCCATTGTGCTTTGTATATTTGCCTGGTATCTTACTAATTGACAAGGAGAATTGTGGTTTTCTCAGCCACTTTCCAGAGCCTTTTGAAGAGCTGGGCTATGCAGTAGTTGGAGAAAAGAAACAAAATTCGATACTATCAGAAAAGAGAATGCTTCTTAGTGATAGAAGACGATAAACAGCTGTTACTCAACTCAGTGCCAAATGAGTGTTAACAATAAAATAAATGTTATGCCTGGACAAACAAACCTTGGGTGGATATCAAATATTAAATGCTTTCCAAAGGAGATACAAAGTCTGTTCACTAAAATTGACAAAGATTTTTTTAGAGTAGCTGAGTTAAGAAAACCCATCAGTAATCACGATAGGAATGAACTAGAGGCCTAGAAGTTTTGTTTTATAAAAAACAAAGACAAAAATTTGTCAAATGTGAACCAAATGCAGTTATTCAATATTCACTCAGCAAAATTTTATCAACTGCCTATAAGGAAATATATACCATGCTAATATATTCTATTAGCAAGTGTCACAGAGAAGGGATATTGGGCAGTCTTTAAAATTGGATCTTCCTGGGTAAAAGCACCCCCAGTCTGGGTATAAATGGCCAAATTCAGATATTTTAAGATCAACAGAAATCTATAGGCTATTAGTGACCTAAGTAATTCACCTAGTCATTCACTCATTCATTCAACACATTATGATTGAGTGCCTACTATGTGCAATTCACTGAGGTGGATGCTGGCATATAAAGGTACCTAAAATATGGCCTGAGCTTTCAAGGAGTTTCCAGGCTTGTAAGAGAAGACAGGTGAGAGTACAAGCTATGAAGAACAATAAAATAAGTGCTATGAGAGAAGTTCAAAGTGGAAAACATCTACGATGCTTATGATACAGTTTTGGAGATAAAATTGATGTATAACTATAAAATTTAGTTTTAAATCTGTAAGGGTTGATTTATCAAAATGTCTGATTTAGCTAAGCTCTCAGTGAAAGAGTCGCCTTGGAGGCTAGTAACTTATTCCAATAAGAATGCAAATCTGGTCATTATCTACAGAATGAGGGAGGTTTTTTCTCATTACCCCAGGGTAAAAGTTTGATTTTTGGCTGAAGGATAACATTGACCAATGTGATTGCCTACTTTAATTATTAGCTCAAATGTCTTTTTACTGTTTCAAATAATCTATCATCAAAGAGCAAAGTTATATTCCTCCTTAAGAAATTCAAAAGGCTCAGCCGGCGTGGCTCAGCAGTTGAGCATTGACCTAGGATCCAGGAGATCGCTGTTCGATTCCTGGTCAGGGCACATGTCCGGGTTGCAGGCTCAATCCCCAGTGGGGGACGTGCAGGAGGCAGCCAATCAATGACTCTCATCATTGATGTTTCTGTCTTCCCCCCTCTTCCTTCCTCTCTCTGAAATCAATATATTATTTAAAAAAAGGAAATTATTTTAAAAGAAGTTCAAAAGAATGTGCATTCATTTCTAAAGGGAGTCTCTAAAGAATTTTAAAAATGTTTTAAGCAATGGCAATGTCATTAGAATAAATTATTACTTTTGAAGAAGAGTACATTCATTTGGGTGGGTAAATGCTGGTATAACCAATTTAAAATGAGTATTCACACTTGATATTCACCACTTGAATAAACTTTTAATTGAATTTATTGGGGTGACATTGGTTTGCAAAACCATACAGGTTTCAAGTGTACAACTCAATAAAACATCTGCACACTGCACCATGTGCCCATCACCCCAAAGCTAAGTCTCTTTCAGTCCCCATTTCCTCCCTTAGCTCACCTCCACCTAGCGCCCACCTCCCTTTCCCTCTGGCTATCACCACACCATTGTCTGTGTCCATATATTATGTACATATGATTTTTGCTAATCCCTTCACCTTCTTCATTCAGGACTCCTCTCTCCCCTCCCCTCTGACAGCTATCAGTCTGTTCCATGTATCCATGCCTTTGTTTCTATTTTGTCAGTTTATTTTGATCTTTAGATTCCACATGCAAGTGACATCATATAATATTTGTCTTTCTCTGACTGGCTTATTTCACTTAGCATTATAATCTCCAGGTCCATCCATGCTGTCACAAAAGGTAAGATTTCCTTCTTTTTTATGGCTATGTAGTATTCCTTTGTGTAAATGTATCACAGCTTTTTTATCCACTCACCTACTAATGGGCACTTGGGTTGTTTCCAGATTTTGGTTATTGTAAATAATGCTACATATAGTCTTTTGAATTGCTGTTTGGGGATTCTTAGAATATATTCCTAGAAGTGGAATCACTGGGTCAAAAAGTAGTTTCATTTCTAATTTTTTGAGGAACCTCCATACAGTTTTCCATTGTGGTCACACCAATCTGCATTTCCACCAGCAAGGTACGATGGTTCCCTTTTCTCCACATCCTTGCCAGCACTTGTTTGTTGATTTGTTGATGGTAGCCATTCTGGCTGGTGTGAGGTGACACCACATTGTGGTTTTAATTTGCATCTTTCTGAAGATTAATAATGTTGAGCATTTTTTATATGTCTGTTGGCCAAAAAACTTAAGGCACTGGTAATTACCCAGTGGCTGGCCTGATCAGCTTACTTCTTGAGAGTTCAGAGATGAGAAAAATACAAGAATCTAAGAGGACAGGATGGCCCAGGAGAGAGATGACATTTATACAGGATTGACAAGGTTCTGATAGAATCAACAGTCTACACTTGCTGTAATGGCTTAATTTGGATAAAATGTAAGTTTAGTGAGTGCCAGTTAGAAGCAGAGTTTAAAATTTTCTCCATTGAATTGAATTGTCCCAATAAAATAGAGAATATTGTAGAATTTTCTGAAATTTTTAATAAAAAGATAGCGGTCATTCTTGGACTGCTTCACCACAACCCATGTTAGTGGCAGGTAAGAACTAGATGACCTCAGGAAGATCTGAGTCTGAGATGGTTAATTTTATGGGTCTACTTGGCTGAGCCATGGTGGTCAAACATTATTCTGGATGTTTCTATGAGGGTGATTTTGGATGAGATTAACATTCAAATCAGTGGACTTTGAGTGAAGCAGATTGACCTCCCCAATGTAAGTAGGTCTTTCCCATCAGCTAAAGGCGTGAATAAACAAAAGACAGACCTCCCTTGAGCAAGAGTGAATTCTGACAGAAGTCTTTGGACTTGAACTTCAACATCAGCTCTGCCCTGGGCCTCTAGCCTGTGACCCACTCTGTGGATATTGGACTTGCCAGGCTCCCCAGCTGTGTGAGCTCTCGGTTGTGATTCTCTAGGAAGCCCTGAATAGTACGGAGTCCATCACAAAAATTGAGAAAATGTTGTATGAGTTACTCAGTTAAAGGGGAAAAATATACTGTATTTTATATGAAGACAGTCAAATAAAAGTATTGCATACTACATAGTAACAGAAAGTCTTTTGTGCAAATATAACAACCAAGCTGGAAAACTTCACTCAGAACATTCATATCCAGAGTATGTGGGCATCACTGTAGATTGTCTGTTACCTCTTCTGGGCTTTTGGAAGCAGCCACCTGCCAAGTCTGTTACACATCCTACATCACTTCCTCTTTAAATTCTCCCAGCAACTCTTCCCGCTCTCCCCATCATCAGGAGACAACCTAGCCTTATATTACCTGAAACAGAGCTTCTCAAACTTGAATGAGCAGAAGAATCTCTTGAAAGTCTCCTAAAGCTACAGATCTGATTTCATAGGTCTGGGCTGGGCCTGAGCCTCTAAATGTCTAATGAGTCCCCTGTTGACACCCAGGCTTCTGGTCCTGGGACAAGGCTCTAGTTCCATCCATCTCAAACTCTATGAGTCACCTGTGATCTTATTCGATAGGCAGAATCTCAGGCCCCAGCTGACCTACAGATAGGGATCCACAGGCCCCCTCTGCTATCCTGCAGTGTCCAGCTCTCTCTCCCTGATCTTTACTCTTGGCTTAAGAACTTGGTGATTCTTCACTCCTGTTAAGTAATTACTCTCTACCTGACCCACTCCCTTTCCCCCAGCTGGAGACTTTCTTCACAGACAAAATGCGAGTGTTCTATACCTGCTGTCTCTCCTCCCTCCACAACCCACCTGTCTTTATTATTTCACATCATGTTCCTCTGTATGTATGTTTGTGTGTGTATATGTATGTGTATATGTGTGTATGTGTGTGCAGAAAGAAATTTACTGTGATCATTTAAACTGGAAACAACCAATCAACAACTCGCTCAATATAACTATTCAATTGTTTTTGACCAAAAGTCTGTAAAGGGCATATTAGTGACCTAGATGTCTTTATTTTTGAATGATTAACTTATTCTGGCACGTGATATGAAAACTTGCTTCTCTTGCTCTTGGAAAAAGAGGCCAGGATTTATATAAAGTTCTGACCTGACCCCTTTGCTCTGTTGCTTAACCCTCTCCAGTAACTTCTCACTCAGAGGAAGTCCAAGCTTTTCAGCATGGCCTGCAGGGCCTTCTGCTCCAGCCGTCTCTCAGCTTTCCCTCTTTACAATCTGGCAATACCAAGCCACTCAGGGGCTTTGGCTACTAGTGCTGCCCCATGCCTCCTGGGCACCTGCTCAGGCTTGTGGCACTGAGACAGGCCAGCAAGCCAGGAGAATTGGAATAGGGAGATGAAGACAAACATCTGAACAAACTGCAAAGCAATTTACAGCAAGATACAGAAGGTCACTTCTATAGAGATAACATCTAGGCCTCAGTTATATTTCAGCTCCTGGCCCAGAAAAGCAGCAAAACCAGGTGGGCAATGCCAGGACCACCTGCAAACTAATGAGTGACCCCCTGTCCTGGCACTGACCAATCAGTTAAGTCCACAACCCTGAAAGGGCACACCTGAAAAACTGATGAATTTTCTGCTGAAACCCTCCCCTGAGCCCTCCCCTAATGCCCCCACCTGTAAGAGAGAGAAAATCCTCGAGACAAAGGACCCAGTGTGTGCTCTCCCTCTGGGGAGCACGCCCCTCCTTTTTTTCTCCCACAGGCACACATCATCTAAACCTTAAGGGTTCCCATGAGACTTGCAACCAGGGAAGCAATGGGCTAACTCCCTAAACCTGTTTCCAAGGCCCCCTTTTCTCTGACTTCCCAATGAGCTAAAGCAGCCCAGCCTGGGCTCTCATGTTGCTTCTTGTATGCTAAGCCCTTCCTGTTTCAGTCTCCAGCTTTGATAAAGCTGGACTCTCATAGTCACCCTGACTCATGATGTGAAATCTTTCCTACATGAATTCAAGAACCCACATACTACCAGCCAGCCCTGGGTAGACCCACTAGGGCCAGGTCCCCTTTCTGATAACAGCACCTCTCCTTCTTTCCCTGGCTGCCTTCCAGGCATCTGAGAGAACTCAGCCCAGACATTTCTTCTTCTAGAACAACATCGAGCTCCCATATTACCCAGGGTGTTGCCCTTAACGTCATCATGCAGCTCCGTTCTAGTGCATAGTATGTATTTGTGGAAGGGAAGAAGAAAGGAAAAAAAGTCTACTTTATCACTGAAAAGGGTTGCCTCAAGCAGTCCATATTCAAAGGCAGGAGGCCCTGCCCTGCGCTGTTAGTGCTCACAATAAAATAAACCTGTCCTAAAAATCCATTTTAAAGAAGAAATAAATGATAAGAATGAAGATCAGAATAGAAGACAGAGAAGTTAGACCTTAGGTTTGTGTGGCTTTACAATTGATAAACTGTCATGAGAAGTATTCATTTTTACAGACTGGTGAAGTGGGTGCTAGTAGACTCATTTTACAGACAAGAAACTGGGGCTCAGAGAAGTCTCTGCTATAGCCCAAGGGTCCCCTGGCAGGAAGTACAAGGAGCTCTCCACTCTGTGTGGACCCCATCACTTCACGACTTACCCAGGAGGAGACAAATGTAAGATATTAATAAGAATTCACTTTTAAAATTCTACATACTCACTGCTGTATTTCAAAAAACAAAAACATTTCTCTTAAATTATGCTATGGTAATTAGCTCTCCATTCCTACACATTAATCTGTTATTGGGTATAACTTTCTTAATTTAGATGCCACTACTAAGTCCTAATTAGACTCATTCCTTTTAATAACATAGACAGAAGTCTTAACCTGAAGGCATTCAGTATTACTAAGTACCTACTATGTGTCAAATTACCAGGTAGTTGCCAAGAATATGAGGATAAAAACCTCCCACATTCTGGGAAAACTCACACACATGGGGTGAGACGCGCAGTCTCAGCTGCAGGGGCAGAATTACAAAACGCGATGGACCTGGCTTTAGAGAGAAAGGGGTCACAAACTTGCCTGCCACCTCCTGTTCCCAAGAGCGCTTTTCACCCTCCTGTCCTCTCCCAACTCCTGTGCGGACTGACCTGCCTGGGAGCATGAAATTATCTCAGGAACTCTGGTTCTGGCTCTACCTACACGAGACTTCTTGTGGCTTTGTCCTCTTGCTTGGTTCCTACAAAGATCTGTGACAAATCTGTCCTCTTTTGCTCAAGCTTAAAACTATAAATAAATGAAACTTTGCAGCTGAAACCTGGCGTCTTTCTCTTCCATCTACTCCCCTTTTGTTCCTCTCCCCAACTACACAAGACTGTTTAAGAAAGCTAAACAAATGTACGAAAGCGAGGTACCCACAGGACTAGAAGCGCGCCCTCCTGCTTCCCGCGCCCGGCTCCCCAGCCTCCGCGCCGGCTGCACAGGTTCCCTGGGGCCGACGGCCCGCGTCCGTCTCCATGGCGACGCGTCACAAAGCGTCGCAGCGCCTGCCGCGGGCCACCGAGCTGGAGCAAGCGCCCCGACGACTCCTACTGAGGCACGAATGGCGCAGCCTGGGCCCGAGGCCCTGTACCCCTCTCAGTGTGGCCACAAGGCTCGGCCAGGTAAGACTACGGACCCTGCGGGCCGGCGGGGGCAGGAGGGGTCTTTGCTGGAGATGGGAGGCGCTAGAGCCAAGGCTGCCTCTATCCAACCCTTCCACATTCTTTCTGCCAGTCCCCTCCTGAAACGCTCAGGTGCTTTTAAATACCCCATGAAATGCTTGGCTGGGGGATGGGGCAGGAAAAACCAGGGACTTTTCCCAGACAAAAAACCCAAAGGCAAAGTAGGAAGAGAGATTGGGAAGCTCTGAAGACAGCAGACCCAGGAGGCGTCCTGATTCCCTGAGAAAACAGAACAGAGAGTGGGGAGGTGCAGAACGCAGGACACAACCCCCAAGGGGACCCACAGAGGCAGTGGGCCCCACCTACACACACAAGTGGCTGTAGCAGAGGCTGAAAATGAGAACTATGGCCTCCAGCTGTTGGTTGTAACCTTTGCTAATCTTTCTTTCAAAGCGATTTTGTATTTAACAGATGTAGTGCTTTTAAAACTAATTTTGCATGCAAATGTGGTAAATTTACTAACTCAGCTTTTTGTGTCAGTGGAGGGAGAGCCACTCTAGCTGTGATGCTGGTGGCATGAATTACTGTGTAGTCAGCTCCATCCTGGTCCTTCTTATGGCAGTAACACCCCCTTGCAGCCTTCTAGCTGGGTAATTGCGGTGCCACAGTGACTACAGAGCAATGGGGATTGCTCAACCGCAAATTCGCTAGAATTGTAGTCTCATGAGAATGAATGAAATGTTTTCCATTCCATTCAATCGCTTTGTAAACTGAGGATAGAAAATGAAAATAACTAAGAACAAAAAATACGTAAAACACCTAGTTTCTATTTGGTGGCAGGGCAAAGAGGAGGCACCTTGTCTTGGTATCTTTCACTGTCTTCTCTTTCCTTCTTGTTGGGAAATGTTGGCATCCTCTAGATGTACCCTTCTGGGTTTACCCTTCTGTGAGTGACCATCCCTGCCATAAAACTTCAAGCCCATGAAGATGTCAATGGCTCTCCAGCCTTTACTCTAACTGGGATATTCCTAAAATACTCAGCTGTCTACCAGATCCATTTGGATGTCATGTAGGGCCTCAAACTCAGCATGCACAAAATTATTCTCCTGTCCTCCTAGACTTTGCAAACTTGGTTAGGAGGATCCCAGCTGCTTAGAATAGAAGGAAGGGCAGCTTTTTGACACCTTGATTTGATTACCAGGTCTCATTAGTTCTGCTCCAAAGTTCCCTTCCCCTAGGTGAGTTTCCTCTTCACATTCAGTCTAGGGTTCTTATAGCCACTCAGTGCTACTCCATCTTCCCTTACAGAAGTGGCACCCTTCAGAAGGTAGGCCTGATGTGTCACTACCAGCTTTGTCCCAAAATGAGGTTGAGGAAGACTGCTATGGGCTAACTACTATCAAGCTATTACTATAGATTGAGCTCTTAAGTGTTGTATTACTTCCAAGGCCTGCCATAAATTACCACAAACCGATGGCTTACAACAATAGAAATTTATTTTCTCACATTCTGAAGGCCTGGAAATCCAAAATTAAGGTTTTGGAGAAATATTTCCTCTGGTAGCCCTAGGGGAGGACCCTTCCCTGCCTTTTCCAGCCTCTTGTGGCTGTTGGCATTTTTCAGAGGTTCCAATCAATTAAATGATGACTTCTTTGAAAAGCATCACCTTCTCACAATTTCTTTCCACTTACTTGTCCATGCTTGAAATTCTCTTAATTTAGGACATTTAATTCTGCTTTTGGGATAAAATGCTTTAAAGCATAAAATAATTCCCGCTAAAGCAGGAGTATCAATGGATAAGGTGATTTCTCGTAGAATGAGATCAGGGTGTGGGTACCAGGAGTCTTCGTGAGCAGACATATGGAGTGTGACATGTAGGGCTAAGGCTTTAGTTGATCGGAGAAACCTCTAGGTGGAAGTGAAACTCAACCTGTGTGAAGGTGGCAGGTAAATAGTCACAGATAAGCAGACTCCTGCTCAGGATCAATTAAACACAAGCCCTGGTTGGAGAGATGTGGCGGTGAACAATAAGAAGTACACAGGTGGCAAAAATGAAATGTTTGGTTAGGGCTCTATACGCTCAGCAGTGGCATACAGATTAAAAAAAAAAAAATTGTCTTTATTGATTTCAGAGAGAGGAAGGGAGAGGGAGAGAGAGAGAGAAACATCAATGATGAGAGTCATTGACAGGCTGCCTCCTGCACTCTCTCGACTGGGGATCGAGCCTGCAACCCAGGCATGTGCCCTGACAGGGAATTGAACCACAATCTCCTGGAACCTAGGTTGATGCTCAATCGCTGAGCCACCCTGGCCAGTCCAGGCTTTACGAATATTTGAAAATTGAAGAGGTATTTGAGAACAATCCTTGGCAGCTGTTGTATTTAGGATGAGTGAGTGGGAGCAAACATACAATGAAGTGGCTAAGTGTTCTGGAGGTGGCGGGATGGACCCCAGACATTCAAACATTAAAGGGCACATTTCAACCCAGGCTCTAGTGAAATGTAAAAAGCAACAGGTAACTGCTCAAATATGAAGAATGAGAGGACTGAATTAAATTTAAAATATATATTCCCAAGAAATTTGGTGGTGCTTTGTTGATAATGGGCAGGTGGGGAAGATAGATTTTGTTGTTGCTAGTGTCCGCTTAATGGTGAATTCTCAGTCCTCATCTTCCTGGACCCAGCCAACAGCATTCGCCAGAGGTGATCCTTTCCTCCTGTGAGTACTTTCTTCCTCTGGTTTCAGGACACTGCACACTCCTGATTTTCCTCTTACCTCGCTGACTGCTCTTCTCGGTGTCCTTCCCTGGCTGTTCCTCCTCTCCCTGACCTCTTGACATTTGCATGCCCCAGGCTTCATCTCCTTTGCTTATGCCTCCTTCCTTGTTGATCTCACCCACTCAGAATTTTAAATAACATCTATACCACAGAATCTTGCACAGTCATTACAATCGATGAATTAGAGTTAGCCTGGCTGAGTTTGAGGGGTTTCCCATACAACACTGTTATATGACAGAGAAGAAAAGAGCACTTTGTGGAATACAAGCCCATTTTAAAAACTTTTTTATTGAATTATTGGGGTGACATTGGTTAATTATATAGATTTCAGGAGCCCATTTTTGTAAAAAAAATAGTGAAAACCAAAGCCATATGTCAATGTATTTATACATGTATCTGTAAGTCAGTATATGATTATATCAGCAGGTATAAAAGTCTGGAAAGAAACAGGCACACTTGTTCACATGGGCTACCTGGGAGGAGGGCCAGGGAGGCGGGTGATAATAAACAGGGAGAAAGAACAAGGAGAAGATTCCATAATGAATCCTGATATACAAACTCTGAGCCCCTTTGTGCACAATCATTTCATGGGTTTACAGGTTTGTCTAATGTGATATATGAAAAGTTGGTCAGTATATCAGAAATAGTGAGCATTTTAAGATGATAGAATTTCAAATAAACTTTCTGCTTTATATTTTCACATATTGCTTAAAGTTTTTAAAATAGCATGTATGAATTCTCAAGAAAAACAATAGACCTATTTTTATTTAGGGGCAAAACTCAGATAATTAAATTGAGCTTTGTCCCTTAGGAGAGGCCACAAATTGGCCTTTATTCCTCTAGGCTCAAAATTACAATCCAAAATGTGTTTCTCTTGCAAAATTATTTTAATTATTAAAACAACATTTGATCAATATATGTTGGTCTGATCCATTTAAAAGTGTTTCACTGTACTTTTGGCAGGTGATACCCACTGGGACCCCTATGCCACCACGATGAAGGCTGCGTTCACGCCTAAGATGGGAGCAGCACCTGCTTTAACTCGGTACACCCCCGCTTAAGTCACACTTTAGTTTGTTCACTTGTATTCCATTCTTCAGAATTAAAAACAAATAGCAGGAGGAACCAGAGAGGGCTTATGAAAAATGCACACAGCTGGGACCTACTGCATGCCCAGTTCTCCAAGCACCAGAGAGTTCCCCCTTCAAACAGTGTCCAAAGCTCCTGCAGGAAAACTAAGAACATGGACCCATGGATTCTTCCTCAAGTAACTGTGTGTCATGGTTTACAGTAAAGCCATAAGTAGGCTAGTAGAATTGTGCCGTGTAAATACTGAGAATGAGTTGAATCCATCACTTGAGCCATAGTAGGCAGGCAGTGACAGTGGAACGAATGGATGAATAACCAATTGTTAGCATTTCTATCAACACTAGTGCCACAATCCCCTCACCCTTACCTTCACTTCTCCACTTTTTGCTTCCTACAGCAATATTGGCTGGCAACTTCTCCAATTCCACCTGAATCGTGGGCGGTGGGAATTTCTGTCAGCTGCCTCTCTGAGCTCATTGGCAGATGAGGGAGAGTGGGACCAGGAAAGCCCTGGCATCTTTCATGGCATCAGTGGTAGGTGGGAAATTAACATGGAGACCCTTCACTTGCCTGGGTTTACTCTGTGAATTATTTCCAATAAAGGGGATCTTTTTAGCTTAAAAGTTCAAATTATCAAGAAGTCAGATGGAGTATTGGCAAGACCATGGCTGTGGAGTCAGGCAGAAACGGATTCTAACCTCAGCTCCCTGCTCTGACTTGCATTATCCTGCTACCTGAGGCAAGTAACAAGTCATCTGTGGCTCTGTGGCTCAGTGGTATGGTTGGTGGTGGTTCAGAGGACAGAATGAAAGGACTAGCACAGTGACTAGAGCAAGATGTTCCTCAGGGCTGCAAGACTCAACTTCCGAGTTATTGGCTATCCCACTGAGTCCCATTATGTCCCTTCACTGGGAGATGTATCCTCTGACAATAATGATTCTGCCAGCTTTCCAGACAGTAACTGTTATCTGAAGAAGAAACAATTGGGATGAAAGCCAGAAACAAATGGGTACTAATGAATTCTAGGTCAGTGGGCCTCAAACTGAAATGTTTAATTTCAAAGAAAAGTTTTCATCATAAACTTAAATAGTTGCAAAAGATAAAACTTCAAGCCCATCCTGAATATTGACATTAAAAAATAAAACTGTTAATTCATTTCTTTGAATATAACCAGTGGGTAATCTAAACACCTTAGCAAATTGATACACACTATATGATCCTTTTATTTTTATTTATTTATTTTTAAAAATATGTCTTTATTGATTTCAGAGAGAGGAAGGGAGAAGGAGAGAGAGGGATAGAAACATCAGTGACAAGAAAGTCATTGATCGGCTGCCTCCTGCACACCCCCCACTGGGAATCGAGCCTGCAACCTGGGCATGTGCCCTGACCAGGAATTAAACCTCCATCTCCTGGATCCTAGGTCGATGCTCAACCGCTGAGCCATGTCGGCTGGACTATATGATCCTTTTAAACAATGCACAAACAAGCTCTTTAATATAGAATTGATTTCATCTCTTTTCCTTCTTGAACTCTTACTCCCACTCTACTTCCTCCATAGAATGTTACCCTGCTATAACATATTTTGTGTTTAAAAGCAATTTATTGATCGCTCCATTATACTTCCTGGCAACTATGTTAGTATTTTAATTGAAATTAATTTTTAAACATGTTGTGTGACCCTAAGTTTTGAATTATCACAATTATTTTTAGAATACACTTGCTGAAAGCAATAAATACATTACAAATGTTAATAATTACTAAATACAAAAAGTAAATTTTTTGGTATTTCTTCTTAATGAAATAAATGAGACTATTTTGTTTTCAATTAGTTTTTGTATCTAGTTTTGAGTATTACTACTTTTGGAATGAGACTGCATTCAGCATTAATTTTTTTCTGCTTCTTTGAAAAAAATTTTTTAAATTTGTAGATGCTAGTGTTGAGAAACCTTGCTCACATACGAAGGCATGAATAGAGGGTCTCATTAGTGTCATTTATACTCTAAACTCCAAGTTATATCTTTAATGATTGATTGGTGACACCATGGATGGGTACTCATTCAATTTTATTGAAAGCAAATAATTAGGTGATCTGTCATCCAGTTATTGAGTCCCTGTCTCATTTTCTGAGAAGTGTACTGAAAAGGCACATCTTAACAAATGACTATAAGTTACATGCTACTCTTTCACTCAGAGGAAACCTGTTTAATATTATATACTCAAAAAGGACTTAGAAAATGGGAACAGTAGTTTCAATACATGTTTTCCAATACAATCTTTTTTGATAAAAAGCTTTTATCATCACATACTTAAAATACATTTTAATCAAAATCTTAGAGCTGAAGATTAATTTATACAGTTTTCACCATGCTTACCTTGTTGGTAAAATCAGCCCTTGTTATCAAACCAACAAGAAAAACTAGGTTTACTTACAGTCAAAATAAAATCTGACTCCACTTTCTGTTCAAATAAATGTTAATATACATTTTGATGAATATTATGAAAACTACTGATAAATTATGGAATGCATATTTTAGGTTAGATTATTGAAAGTGGACAGAGAACTATAAAAAGATTCAGGTCTAATATAATGAATTATATCCAAGTAATAAAAATAATGCAATGAAATATATGTTATCTGTGAAGTAAGGAGTATGATAAAAAACAACATGTTCCTTATTAAATATGTTCTCAAGTGTCTAGAACTTTGGTGCCTAACATTTGGGAGTAATTAAGTAATACTCACATATAGAAATCAGAAATAATTTCACTGAATTCTTTAGATACCAACTTAAACATTTATTATGTATTTTAAAAAGATAAAGTTGTATGTGTTGAAAATTAATTTGTTTGGCAAGCCAGCATGTATTGTTAATATTTTACAACATATAATAAAATGAAGACTGGCTGCATTGGGGTAAATATTTCATAATATAATTTGGTTTAAAAATAAAATTTAAATACCTTATTGAAAGATAAACACAAAATCTGAATAAAAATCACAAGATTTTTATGTATCAGTTTTATCCAGTGAATCTTCAAAAATTTGGTAGCTTTGGGAAAGAGTCCAGTTATATTTAAAAGAATCAGCATTACTATCCTCTACTGCTTCATCTACTCAGAGGAGCTTTTCTTTCCAATGAGGACATATCCTAGAGATTTTTAAAAGGCTGAAAAAATACTTTAAATATGTAGGGAAAAAGGCATTTTAAGCATTCTATATTCTCTGCTCTCTTTCCAGATGCTTCTCCCTAAAAAGGAATGAACATTTCATAATTTTTAGGAAATGAAAAACTAGATATTACTTTCAGTGATGCCACTACATGTACTTAAATTCAGAGTATCCCACACAGTCTATAGGCTCACCCTTCATTCTCTCAGAAGTAAGCCTGAGACCTAGGCAAGTGTGTGGAATTGGATAACAAGGAGGCTGCCCTGAAATCTAGGACAAAGTTTTCCTCCACTGGGCACCTCTCTCGATTGGAGGCTTATCCCAGTTGAGGTGTAATACACCTTAGTAAGACCCTATGGTGGAGTGGGGAAGGGAGAAAGGGCTGTGGGAAAGAAAGGACCCATAGCTATGCAGGTTTGCTCTCAGGCAGGTGACTGTTTGGAGAGTATACCCAGAAATGGAGATCTGAAAATCAGTCCTTTAAAGCTACTTGTGTTCTGTTCCCTTTGGAGAATCTTTGTGTACCTGTGATCACTTCTGTTTGATTTAGGACCACACATCTGGATGACAAGTAAAATAGTCCATCACTCAGCTGTATCCCACTTTTCAGATGTTTTGTTCTTACAGACATAATCTGAACATAACCCAGCCCTGTTTTTGAAAAAAAGTCAGTCTGAAATATTTTAGATATATACAATGAATCTTCAGCTATCACCCATCTTCAATAATCAAGAACACATGGACACTTTTATGTGCACCCTCCACCCAGCCTTCCCACTGGGTAATGTTGAAGTAAATCCCAGGAACTATATATCATTTCTATTCTAAATAATTGTGATGTATCTTTAAAAGATAAGGACTCTTTAAAAATATCTAACAATACTAGTATGTCACCTAAAATTTTTCTTAATATCAAATATAGCCAATCAGCAATCAGGTTTGCCCAATTGTGTCATAATTTAAAAAATAGTCGGTTTGAAATTGAATCCAAATAAGGTCTACACATTCCATTTGGTTATTATATTTCTTCATCATTTAATCTACAGGTTTCCCCTCTTTTTTCCCTGAAAATTTCTTTGTTGAAGAAATGGATAATTGTTCTGCATTTTTCTTACTTCACTCCCATCATGTTATTAAAATATTCATTTCATGTATTTCCTGTAATCTGACATTCCAAAAACTTCATCATATTTAGGTTGAATATTTTGAAAAAATAGGTAATGGGTGATGTTGTATATGTCCATCTAGCACATCATACCTTGTTGTCCCTCTTTTTGAGCTGTGAATGAAAACTGCTGGTCACTGCCTGAAGTGCTTTATTTCCCCAGGGACTCATAAGCCAGTGATAACCCAGTGCTTATTTTTCTTCCTTTTCTTAACTGGAATACTTCTATAGAGAGAAACTTTCCTTCACCGACTATTTGGTGACACCAAAGTACTGTTTTTACAGAAAGTACTCAGCTCTTTAAAAAATGAATTAAAAAATTAATGAATTTCCTATTGTTATTCTTTTAAAATCTCATTTTAGGCCTCCCATGGATCCAGGATTTGTTTCTCTTAGGGAATTCTGGAAATTAAATGATTTCTGACATTGAGTCGTAAGCCAGCCAATCTTAAAAAAAATGTAATGAGTGAAATTCTTTGACATGTGTACTGCTGTGAGACTTAGTATTTAATCCCTTCCTCTAATTTCCACTATCTTTTCTTGTAGTCAAAAAAGTGCCCGAAGATTTGGATACACATATTCACTTAGCGACCCGCTCCCCAATCAGACACAGCACAATGATGAGTACGTTTGGAAGTTACGTTCCAAAGAAGATGTGATCAAAGCTGGGACTCCAGGAGAAACTGGGAGCCACAGTTCTCGCTTCAGTCAAGTAAGATAACATCTGCATATCTGCTGAATTTAATACTGTATCAATAATCCAATACTGAGAATTTAAATATATCCCAAAGATCCTTCATCACCTACAGTTATGGTTCTTCTTAGACTCTTTTGTCCACCTTTTCACATTCATTTCTAACTACGTTTCCCCTGTCCCCTCGTTTTTAAAAATATTTTTTAAATTAAAGTGAAATTCACATTGAAAAATTATAAGGGAAAGAAGGGGATGGAGGGAGAACCTGAAGATTAAAAGAAACTTGAAAGACAAATTTGAGACAGTGAGTGTCCCTAACTATTTTGAGGGATTTTAGCGTAAAGGCAAACTGAGAAATATTTTAGTAACCAGAGGGGGAAGTAGGATGAAGAGAGAATTTTCTTTTTAAGATAGGAGAAATAAAGGCAGGCTTGGATACTGATGGCAACCTCCCAGGAGAGAGGGAGGAATGAAAGTTCCAAGAGAGAGGTGAGAATTGTTGGGGTGATGTGCTGGAGTAGACCAAGTAAATGCAGGTTGAGGGTACCAGGTTGGGTCAGGCCCTGCTGGGTGACCAGCAGCTCCTCTGCCAACACAGATGCAGTGGCTGGGAGGTGGTGTGGTGTGCTGTGTGGGTTCTCTTTGTTGGCTTCAATTTTCTCAGGGAAATAGGAAGCAAGATGAAAGAGAGGGAAGATGGAAAGACGTGGTGGAGGTTCCAAGTTTTATAATCACAAATCTCTTTGGAGGCAAAGAGGAGAGAGGGCTTGGGGCTCTGAAGGCAAAGTAGCAGCTATCTTACCTGTGGCCAGAGCTAAAATTCACGGGTCTTCTCTTCCTCTGGTCTTATTTGAAGATTTCTAGTTGGAGGCACACACAATTCTTTTGACTTTTCAATCACATATTTTTTCATCAACATAAAAGTTAAAGAAGTGACAATGTGCCTATGTAAACCAATAGCTAGGTAAACTGATGGCTTTTGTGGACAGGCTCCTGCACACACAGCATCTGCATGGTGCCTGAGCAGAAAAGACTTAAAAGAATATGTACACACACACACACACACACACACACACACACACATGCACTAACACACCATTAGGTGAACTCATGAGAATTTTCTTGAAAATTATGTTTTTATTGATAGGATGTCTTTCACTGGACACTACCACCAGGTCACTCAAAGTCAGTGAAGAGCTACCTCCCTTGGAAAATTGCTGCTTCGATGGATGAGGTCAGGAAGGCCATATCAAATCAGTTTATTTCCCATACTAGGAGAGACTTTGTGGACAGAGCTGAAGGTAAGTGTGTCAATTTCTCTTCTTTCCTGCTAATGCGCTAGGCACTGGAGTCCCAATTGTCTCTTTACTGAAGGAACTCACAGGACAGACATGGAAAAATGGCAATTTATCAACAGAAACAGTCAAGTATAAAATGGTGCATGTTGTGGGAAATGCAGGGTGCTGTGGGTGTGCACAGTGGGACATCTAGCTGAACCTGGGGAGGAAGGCCAGGAAAGGCTTCTTGGGCTGAAGGACAAGAATAAGTGAGCCGGGCGAAGATGAAGGGATTGAGTTAAACATCCTATTTCCAATTCTTAACTGCTTATTTACTATTTTTAAAAATTAGAACTTTTATTAAACCAATTCATGCATATACTTGAAAGTTTCCTACAGGCTTATAATGAATAGCAGAAGTTTCTTTACCCACCCCTCCCATGCCCAGTCCTGCTCCACATTGACAATCATTTTCAGTCACTTCAGCTGTTTTTTGTTATGTTATCCTCTGTATTTTAAAATAATGTGCTCATCCTGCTATTTTTTTGTCCATCAATTTTAGACATTATTACTGACTTCCCATATGGCAATTGAAGATTTGGCTCTCCTATAACTCTTCCTCACTCTCCTTCCGTCCATCCTCTCAATACAATTATATTACAAAATTTTGGTTAACTCAAATGCTAGGGGTTATTGTGATTATGATGATATGATGTATTACGATATATAAACATTTACTGCTGAGCCAGGTGGTATTTTATGATTATGTTTCTTTTTACTTTTTTTTATTGGAGTTAATTTTTTTCATTTGTTTAGTTTTCTATGTGCCTGTCACTAATTTTTTCAAATACTTTATTGCACACTTACCAAGATTTTTCCCAAATACAGCTTTAGACATTCTATCAGTTCAAGATTTCACTGGAGAGTTGACACCCTCCATCATTCTCCTCTAGTCTAAAAGAGTTGCTCTGTAAATTTGCTGCCCAACTGTGTCCTGGGACTTCCTTTTTCATCATTCTGGTCATTTCTCTGGTCTCTTCCTGCCCTGAATCTCATTTCCTGAGTCCACATATTTCTCTGTCTTGTTCCCCCTCCCTCATTTTGTTAAAACACATCATCTAGTAGCTTCCTATGAAAAAGGGTGTGGGAGGAACTTTTTTGAGTATGTTCTTCCCAATCTGGAAATGTCTTTCTTTCCTTCCTTATACTTGCTTGATAGTTTGGCTGGGTATAGAATTCTAGGATGATAATCATTTTCCCTCAGGTCCCCCAAATGATTTCTAGCACCCAGGACTGGTATGTAAAAGACTGATGCCATTTTGATTCCTGATTCTTTCAAATGTTTTTCCTGGAAGTTTTTAAGATCTTCTCTCTATTCCTGACACTGTAAAAATTCACATTTGCATGCATTAGTGAGAATCTCATTTATTATGTTGGACAATCAGGGATCTTTCAATCTAGAGACTTAGGTCCTTCGATTTTAGAAATAGCTCCCATATACCCTTTTCCTCTTTGTCTCCCATTACTTTTCTCTGTTCTCTTCTGGGACTCCTGTGAGTTGGTTTGATCCTCCAATTTTCTCTCCTGGTATCTTTCTCTTTGTATTTTTATTATGTTTATTTGAAACATTTTTTACTTTTTAATCCAATTTATATTAAATTCTTAATTTCAGCTCTCATGCTTTAAATTTCCAAGCTTTCTTTCTTCTCTCTGATTATTTTGTAAAAATATTGTTTTCTTCTTGTTTTATAGATGTAGTAATTCTGTTATAAATTTTAGAATATTTATGATATACTAAATTTTTAGTGTTTTCATCTGTTCTTTGCTTTGCCTCTATTTTCTCTGTGTCTTAATGGTCTAATGAAGATCTGGAGGCTTTTTGTTCATATTTACAAGGGAGTGAAGGCAGTTTACTATGAAGCTAATAAAATTTAAGTCTTACTTTTGTGGAATTTTTTTTCCTTAAAGTGGATTTACCCAAAATATTAAGCTCCAGGGTTCACAAAATTTACAAGGGAGGGGTATACTCAAATCTGATTGGAAACTACATACAGAGATGAGGCTTGTTGGCTGGTGCTTGACTTATGTGGTGAGCTTCCTTTTTGTTGGGAAACCCCCAAATGCCAGTATTTGTAGATCATTTCCAGAAAGATAAACACTGGCTGTTGCATTCTGAGAGCAGCACTGGGGAAGGGACTGAGAGCTTCCTGCTTGTTGGGCATACTCTCCCTGAACCTCTCCTTTTTTTCAGGTCCAGAATCTCCCTACACCCTTCTCCTGTTTCTGATGTACCAGAATCCAGAGCTTTTTTGGTTCAAGTTTGTGCTAAATAGATCTCTGGTTAGGAAGGGGATAGAATCAGAAGATCTCCAAATTGCAGATAAACATTAAGGGTCACAGAAAAACATCTGAAATGCCAGCATTCTTAAAAGATGTCATTGAGCTTCCAAAGTTGTCCTTTCAGCATATGCAAATTACCATGTCCCCTTGTATAAATAAATGCTGACAACCTATCAAGACTCCTCCTAAATCTCTTAATTCCATCTGCTTCTCTCCGTTCCCACTGCCCCTGCCTTAGTTCAGGTTACCAATGTCTCTCCCTTGGATGACCTTGAATCCAACTCCCTTTTTCGGTTTTGTCTCTTTGAGTCCAATGCCCATTCTATAGATATAGTGAATTTCCAGGGTACAATTTGACAATCACTTTCTAGCTAAAAACACTTCAATGACTCCCCATTGCCCTCAGGGTCCTGTACAATCTGGTCCTTGCCCACTGCTCCAGCATTTTTCCTCTACAGTCCCCACACTATGAGACTGCCTTCCATCTTCCAGACTCACTAAGCCCCCTGCAGCCTCATGCCTGTTCACACACTGCTGCCTCCCTGTGGACTGCCCCTCCTTTTCTTCTTTAAGCCCATGTCTGTCCATCATTTAAGTATAAATGTAAGCTCCATTTCTCTCCCAGGAGTCTTCTCTCATCCCCCAAGTTGGGATCAATTGCCTTCTGAAATGTTTGGATAGTTCCTCTTCTGCAGCATTTATCACATAATATTGTAATTATCTTTTCTGTATCTGTTTCTCTAATACTTTAAGCCTCGGAAGCTCAGGGATCAAGTCTTACCTGAGAATCCTCATTATTGAATTATGGTGAATGATTGAGAAGCACTAAAAGGTGCTTGTTTTCTCAAGAAATTCAGGCTTGGAGAACTCTACTTGGATGACTTAGAACAACAGATAAAAGCATCAAAACTGGTTCTCACTTGCCTATAGATTAAGGGTCCTAGTGGTTTTGAATAGTCCTTGCTGTAGGTTTATGTTTGAACTGGGCCTTTCAACAGATGCCATGTTTAATCTTGAAGGGGCCAGTTTCTCTATTTGGTCTCTAAGTGCTGTAGTATATATATGTCACCATTATTAAACAGAAAAGAAACTAATGGGGCCTGAGCTCCTGAGGAGCAGGGACAATCCAGGCCTCGGAAGGGTGGTTAGCCCTAGGCCATTGTCTTGTCTGTCCATACTTCAGTATCACTATGGGGACTTAAGGTGTTCATTGGGCCCCTTTGTATCAGGAACTTTTCTTCTTAAGAATGCTGAAGAGAATTTTATAAAACCAATGAAAGCATTAGTTGAGAACTAAGAACTAAGAGTTATTTTAAGCATATATCACATAGGCAGTCACTAGTGTGTGCTTCAGATTAATTGCTAATCCATAGCAATTATGTCCTAATTTTTCTTTTGTTCACTCATTAATGTAGTAAATATTTAATGAGGTCTATTACTGTGATAAGTACTAAGGATCAATGAAAAATATAGCTTCATCTTTATCTTCAAAGGAACTCGGAGTAATTCTAGGCCCTGATTATTGTCTTTTCTGGGTCTTCATCTCCAATTGCTCTACTTTTATGCTGGTCCATGCTGGTCCACAGAAAAACCCCTTCAGACCCTTCACAGCCTGGTTCCTAACTTATCTCTCCTGCTTCCCCCCTCAGCTACTTTTCCCTACCCTGCATACCTTACACATTTCCCCACCCAGCAACCAGACTACATTTCATGATACACTGCACCTTTTGCTTCAGTGCTGGTCCTTTGTCAAAGTACTCCCTTTGCTATGTCTGCTTTAATTCTCATCTTCCTTCCCTTTCCATAATAGAGCTCATTATACTCTCTCTGGGCTTCTATAGCACCTATTCAAGGCTCTGAGTCAATGATTCTTAAGCATATGAGAAGCTTGTTCACAATATAAGTGCCTAATTCCTACTTCTAGAGATTTTCAATGTCTGGGATGAGGTTCAGCAGATATAATTTGGAAAAACTATCCCAGGTATTTCTGATGGATTATCTCCATGTAATAATTATTGTTCCAAGTGTTATGCTTGCAAGATATCACATTCCATGTGTCTTTGTTTTGTATCTATCTTTCTAATCATATTTGTTTGAGGTAGTCTTAAGGTGGAATAATGGCTTAATTATCTTTAACCTTGGCACGAAACACATCTAGGAACTGAACACATTTGCTTTTGAGTAAGAGCATTAAGTATTTCAACAGAAATTTGTTTGTTTTTCTCCTATAAAGCTATTAGTAATTACATGGTGCTTACTAGGAACAATGCTAGATGATTTTCTAATATATTTTAAGAGATCTCTGATTTTGAGCCCTAGAGTTTCCTCTTCTTTATAACCTTGTCTTCTCCTTGGACACCTTATGGATTCATCATGATCATTGAGTACCCTCGTCCTCTCTTCCTGAGTCATCTAAATTAAAAGTATGCTGATCTAGACAGAGATCATTTTTAAAAAAATCAATAACAAAACACTCTTGGGTGCCAGTAGATGACATCACATATTGTATGATGTACAATGTACATTTGGATATATTTTGAAAAGACCTATTGAAATACTAATTGGGAACAAGAATTAAGTTTAGCTTCAATAGAAACTGTCACTCTTTGGACATTGCTCATGGCATCCATGGTTTTAACCTCTTTGTCCTGAATAAAGTTGGAGTTGTGTAATTCTGAACCAACATTGTGTAGCAAGAATTAAAGGTGAACTCACCTAAGTGAGATGGCTTATGACTGTCTCCTCTAGGATCTGGTAGAGTGCTTGTGGAACCTGGCATTCAATCAGTGCTCAATAAATATCTAATGATTATAGATTTAGTGAATATTTGTTAGCAGATTTATTTCAAAGAAATAAGTGCTTTTGTCCACTAATGACAATGATGTTGCCTAACCCTCCACCAGTAAAGGATAAGCTCTGAGTTGTTCTTCCCAGATAATGGGGATGATATGCATGCTCCAGGGCTGCCAGGTATAGCAAATAAAAGTACAGGATGTCTAGTTAAATTTGAATGATATACAGTAGATAAATACCAAGTACTTACCCTATCTTACACTAAAAAATTATACGTTATTTGAAATTCAAAGTTAACTGGCATCCTATGTTTTACCTGGCAACCCTAGCCCTAACTAAAACATCTGTGCCTGCCCCAGGGACAACACAGGCCTTCTGGAGTGAGGAATGCCCCCTGTGTCCTTGGAGAACAAAGAGCACTCCTCCCCAACCAACATATATTCATTAGAAACTCCTTCCAGTCACTTGTGCATGTACTTCCTGTGCCTGATAAAGCAGAAAATTATTTCTTGGTTGAAATTGACCATACCTCTAAATATAAAAAGAGTGAGATTTAGTGTGTAAGTTAGAAACTAGTGCTTGAAGCAAAATGGAATGAAAATATGACACTATTTAGAAATAAATGACAAGGAGTAATCATTGCCTTTTGTTTCTACCCCACTCCAGCTCAGAAGATTAAGCAAAGTTCTCAGATGTTTCTAGAATGGAAAAACTTACTTCCTCATCCTGCAGACACTGAATTTCGACGCAATTACCAAGTTCCAGCTAAAATTCCTGAGTTTCAGGATTTTAGTTTCAAATATGGATGCTACTCAAGCCTACCAATTGCTTCTCAGGGTCTAGGTAAGTGAACCTGTATCTTTTATTTATTTTATTTTTCACCTGTAGCTTTTAAAGCAACTTCATAGATACTATCCTCTTGTTCCACAATTCCTCTTAATCTTAATAAGAGTCGCTGAGAATGCCAGTGGTCCTTGAATGGAATTAAAACTATGCCTCCATAGTAACTTGCCTCAAACTCAAGGATTGAGTCAGCCACACAGAGAATGGACTGCTTATTCCAAGAAATGAGTGTATCCTCAACCTGGGAGGTGTTAGGATTGAGAGACACCCCCCTCCATTATAATATGAAGGTAAGGATTCATCTGCTATCAATAGACAGGGAAAAAGATTAGGGGGGAATCAAATTAGTCTTGTCAATTATTCACTGAAAGTTTATCCACAAGGCACACCCTTCAAGCATCTTTAGATTTAAGAGGAGTGTGTGCATGACCCAGGTTTCTATTGTTTTCAACAGAAAAGTTTTTAAAAGTTCTGTGACCCAGCCACCTCCACACTGCTGGTTGAGAGGATTCTTGGGGGTCATGCTGAGAGAGTGATTGATTCCTGGCATGGAGTTGGGGCCAAGTAGCACTTTACACAGAAATCAGCTTAGCACCTGGGGCTAGAAGGCAGGTGAGAAGTTACTTGTTCTAAGTCCTCACGTCTGTGCCAGTCACCACTATACCATCCTTGCCAAGGGGCAATTTCACTCCTGCTCAGACTCTTCAGAGGAGTGCTTGTCCCCAAGGAGCTCCCTCATTCGTAGTATTTCAACTGTTTGAAGGTTCTGAGCAGCTAGAATCTTCCTTGCTCAACTTCCAGCCATTGGTTCTCTTCTTCCCACAGAGTGTAAGTCTATCATTCCCTGAAAATCTTAGTGTCTGCCTTCTAAGTCTCCTGCATGCTAAACACTCCTCAGATGGTGGTGCCTGGTTCCCTCACCCACCCTGTCCCTCCACCTGGCCAATGGTTCATTTTAAGGAGGCAACCTGGAACTGAAGCAGTGTTTAAGGTGTCCTTAAGGTTTACAAAGACTGGACAAATTGTGGACAGATTCTCACATCATTTTCATTGCTTTTTTTTTTTTCTCATAACCCCATGACTATCAGAACCTTCATTAAATGAGTAATGTTCAGAATCAAATGTAAGTGGTCTGCACCTCACACCTCCATTGTCTGAATATGCAATAGTGCTGACTACAGATGTCATCTTTGTTCCAAACTGCTGCTCCTATGGTACCTGGGGGAGGCCTCTCATGTGTGAGTCTCAGTCTGCCTGGGAGATGGCATGAAAGGGAAACAAACGCAGGTGGGGAATGCTATCATCCTAATATGCTGACCTGCAGAAGAGTCAATTCCAGGGAAAACTTCTTTTCTGAAAATAGTGGTCAAACTCAACCTTCTGGCAATCATCTCCAACCCCTCCCACTCCCACTCCCACAGCAACAGCGCTGAGTCCTAGCCACTCTGCCTGCCCCGAGTCACTCACACAGTGCCTCCCCTTCCAGTACCGTTAAGTAGGCACCAGGGTGGGCTCAGGGCTGTCCGGGATGTGCTCAACCAGTAAGGGCAGGAGTTCCTTGCTTGGTGACGGCCTCTGTGTCTTTCCTTCCCTGGCGTCCCCAGTCCCTTCCGTACTGTACAGCCACATGAAGAATCAGGACCGCACAAAGAAGCAGAGCACGTACCAGAGTGACTACGGAAAAGCCTACTTGGATTTCCTAACGATCTTGAACTCATTTACTCCCTCTCAATTAGATGAGTACCTACAAAGTGTTTCCTACAAAGGTAAGATGAGGTCTTGAGTTACCTGTTAATGAATTTGCAGGTCATAATACACTGCTTTACACCAAGTAGAAATTGTTCCAACTTCCAGACACTGGAGTAAAATGTTCACAAAAAGAAAAATATTGCCTCAAAAAATCCATAATTTTTATGCAAACCTCACCCATTGAAAATAAATTTTTCTTATAAGAGGCCCCAGTAACAGTAGCCCCACTTATTACAAGGGAAACAGAACTATTTGTTCATTTCTGACCTCACTTGCCTGTGGCTGAATTGTTCCAGGGTGACTTTTTCTTATAGTTAATAGATTTCTCCAGTGGCCATTTATACTGTCTCATAGTTTGGTTTTGTTCTGTGTAACCTTTATTTCCTGTGTGGTGGTGCTTTTCTGTGACGGGCTTTTTAGTGTACATGAGTATCTTCACATGTCATATCCTCAAAGAGAGCAAGTGCCATTCCTAGGACCTTGTTGGCTCATTCCACGTAACAAGGACTTATCCCAGGCTGGGGCCTGGTGACAGGGATCTACTTAGGAACATCTCAGGGGCAACTGGTCAGTCTGAGTGTGGAAAGTGTCAACTCAGAGAACAGGAGTTGAAGGAGAGGAAATTATACTTGTTTGACAGCTGCCTCTCAGCCCCCAAGGCTAGTGTTCGTGCCCTATAACTCCTCATTTTTGAGCACATGACCCAATGCAGACCTGTATATTTATATAAAGTGTATGCATATACCACTAAACTAATGTATTACGTACATTATAAAGCAGACAAAATGTGGAAGGAGGAAGTAAAAACAAACATAATAGAGGTTCTAATATTCCTCCCTGTACCCAGTGGGCCCTCTTGTTCACCCTGCCTGTGCTCTAGGTTACCTGGGGGTCACTGCCTTGTTCTGTGCCTTGTGGTCAGGCTTGAGCTCAGAGCTTCCACCAGCTACTCAGTAACCCTCCCGCAGCTCTCTGTCTCCTCCCTTTCCAGGTCCCCAACTTTTGTCCACAGCCATGATCAGAAGAGCTTGCTCCTCTGAAATCCTTGATAAAACCCTTTTATTCGTGGATCTGCTGCCCCACACCGGACTGAAACCCCGCTGGAGACAAGAATGAAAAGCAGATGTACATGAATGTGCTTGTGTGTGTGTGCTTGGTTATATGTGTGCTTTATGTGTGTGCATGTGTGCGTGTCTATATGCATGGGTATGCCTGTGTGTGTGTTTGGGGGAAAGGGGTATCTCCCACCCTTACAAACTGAGGGCTGATGCCTCAAAAGCCCCTAGCAGAGCTTGAGTGTTGGGTCTTAAGGAAGTACCAGCAGCAGACATCCTGCCTCACTCTAAGGCAGAAGCAGAAGTCTGTATTTCCCACCGGGAACTTCCTTCCTGTTAACAGATGCCTCTAGGCCAGTCTGACAGCTCAGAAGGACATCGAGGGCTCGTTGAAAGGGTCCACTGCTCAGCTGTCCCCAGGAGGCAGAGCAGAAGCATGCAGTGACCCGAGCCTGCTCTTTGAGACTTTCGCCAGCTTTAGTTCAGATGTATAAAACCATCATCTGCATTTTTCAGGGCTCTGCTCACCTATAGGAGCCACATATGTTTGACCATGTAGATTGAGTATTTCTGTCTTCTGGAAGCAGAACTTGGGGCACAGATGGAGTTGTCCCTTCTCTGGCCCTCATGAAAACCATGCTGGGTGCTGGGACCCTCTGTCTGTGTCATTTGCAATAGGAGCTTCAGCCATGTCTCCTAAGGGTGAAAAGAAACTCTTCAGAGTGCTCCACTTGGATTGGCTTTCTCCAGATTCCTTGGGTAAGCTGATCCTTCATGGAAACACTGTCCCCCAGTTGGATTTTTCTCCCTGGACAATTGAGACATGACCTGGTACTTGACAAGGCAGCTTTAGGGCCATTCTAGGCTTTAGTTTCTTCTTAGCTGGTCTGCTTCCCTCGTTTCCTTGGGACAGCCTGGAGGGCAGGCACCCCAATGCTCAGACCCCACAGCCTTGCCATTTTGCACTGACTTGGGTCATGTCAGATCTGCTTCCAGTGGGTTCTAGTTTTTCTGTCTTAGCTTTGCTTTAGAGTGGCCTACTTATCAACGCCAGCTGTGCCAGAGGCTGACAAGCAAATTGGAGGCTCCTTTTGAATTCTGAAGCCGAAAGCTCTTGTCATTTCCACTGTCTGGGATGACACCAATGCTTTCCAGCTGGCGAATATCTCAGCAGTGCTCACTTGTGGCAGGCCTGAGCAGGTACGCAGGAGAATACAAACCTCGAAGATCTGTTAGGCTGACTCATTATCACCACAGCTTAAGTTATTTTATGGGATTATCCCTCTTAGACAGCACAGGGGTCCATTCAGGTATAGTTTGAAAGAGAGAGGGGAAGGGGCAGGATCAACATAATGGCCTAAGTCAGGGGGTTGGGGCGGTGGCAGGGTGAGGGGGACTGAGAAAACTCCAGGAAGACACAAAATAAAGCTTGGGAAGAAGGAAGGATTTAGTATTGACTTTCTGTATTTACAACCTGAAGAAATTGAACTAGATGTCTGTAGTGGCTATTCTGTTTTCAAAATGGTTTTAATCTCCGAGTGATTCAGACACCCAAGAACTCACCTTTTGGGCCTCTGTTATATATTGAAGACAGTCATCTCCCTGCTTATCCCTCTCTTGAAAGACAAAATTATCTGAAATCTGCTTTTCAGAATTGTTCAGCTATGACTCCCTCCCTGTGTGTTCCTCCAATTAAAATTTCCACAAATACGGCTATTCAAAGGGTATTTCTTCTGAGGGTGTATTCAGTATTGTTAAAAATGCATTTATTCACTCAGTCAGCTTTATTGATTGAGTATATGTAACGCTTACTTGATACAAAGATACATAAAAAGCAAATCCTCCTTCTCAGAGAACTCAGTGTCAGGGGCAGACTGTGTGTAGTTGTGATGGCTTGGCAATCCAAGTGCTCTGTAGGTCCAGTAGATGCCTGCGAGGGGTACTCCCAGCCCTGTGGCTGACAGTGGGTTAGGGAAGGCTGCTCAGAGGAGGCCTTCTTTACATGTCAAGGATGAATTGTGTGACAAGGAGAAGCAGGGCCATTCCTAAGCAGAGAGAACAGCATAAACAAAGTCATGGGGGCCTAAATCTGCATCTATACATAATAAATATGGATAGTATTTGGGTTACACCTGGCAGCCTTTTTGAACATTTAAATTGACATTAAATTTGACATAATCTTATCTTTTTTATAAATTCATGCCAAACTTGATTCATCTTATATGCTTATCTTTGGTATGAAAAAGATTATTTTTCACTTCTCTTAAAATCAACTCCAGATTTGATTGTGTCAAATCTAAGATTGAAAGATAGAGACATTTTAGGCTGAAAATTAGAAGGACTAACAGTAGCCAGTATTGAGGCTATGGAGCAATACATTGCTGGTAGTTGTACAATAGTAAAGTTACTCTGGAAACATCTGGCAGTTTCTCATAAAGTTAAACATATACCTACTCCACAACCCAGAAATTCCACTTCTATGTATTTACCCAAGAAAAATGAAAACAAGACCCACAAAAAGACTTGTACAAAAATGTCTAGAACAATTGTATTCTTAATAGTGCCAAACTGCATACAACCCAAATCTCCATCATAAACAGATATACTCACATAATGAAGTACTACTAGATAATAAAAGAATGAATTATTGATATAGTCAACACAAGGTATGAACCCCCAAAACCATGTGCTGAGCAAAAGAAGCCAGAAATCAAATAATACATTTTGTATTATTTCATTTATTTGAAGATCCACAACAGGTAAAACTTATCTATGAGGAAGGAAATCAGAACCTTATCTGTCTTGGGGTAGGAAGTATTTACTGGGAAGGAGCATGATGGGTCTTTCTGGGGCTGTGGACATGACCTACACTATGATAGGGGTGTGTGTTACATGTATGCAGGGGTCAAGCCGTGGAATTGCACTGGAAGATTAGTGCATTGCACAGATTTTCAATTTAAAAATGCTGGGCTCAGAAAAGGTCTGGATAGGGTAGGGATGGTTCAAAATTAAATGTGAGATCATAAAAACAAATAAGTGCAAACCCAATTGGAGAGAAAACAGGAACACACACACACACAAACACCTGATCTATAGACCTCAGCTGGCTTTGCAACATTGACGGTAGTAACATGACATCACTTGCATTCCTCCTCTCTTTTGGTTCTTTTGGTTTGGGCTGCAGAGGTGGCAATTGCTGGGCACTAGCAAAGTTTTACAGCTCCATTCCATACTATTAAAAAATATGTAATTAGGATCAGGGAACCACGGATGTTCAGGCCAAGCAAGATTCTTTGTGTTCCAGACAAGGGAATAGAGATGAGAGAATTGAAGGGCCTTCGCATGGTCATTTATCACTCGAAAACTGCAGTCTACCCACATTGGTGGGAAGAAAAACAGCCCTGGCTTCAGTGGAACTTTTGGAATAATTGTCTTATTATTTATCATCACTATGTACTACTGTGAACCCAATAATAAATGGGTAGAGCTATAGTATTTACTGAGTGTCTTTATGGGCCAGCACTGTGTAGGTGCCTCGCACACAGCATTCCTGATCCATTCCCACCCCGTGAAACGTAACTGCTATTACCTACACTCAAACATAAGAAAATTTAAAAAAAGAGAGGTCAAATGACTTGCCAATACTTGCCAGTGCAGAACTGAAACGTACATGTTTCATTCTAAAACCTGTGATCTTTCCATGAAAACTTGCTGATCTTTGGAACGTTAAGTTTGCTCTTTTTACTCAATAATCACACAACTGTGCCTTTTTAGCCACTAGACATACTATCCTTTGGTCATTTTGGTTTCATCAGATTTGGATATAGAGTAGTATTGTAAGATATTTGCCTCCTAGAATTTCTCTATTTAGCACTTAAATAGTTAAATGGAAATTTTCATCCTATTTTTCTTCACAATTTCAGACAGAAAAATTCTCGATCGCTTTATTCGCTCTTACTGTGACGCTGACAAAGGGACGGAATGAAAAAGGAAAATAGTCCAAATGAAGAAATCCTGAAAATCAATGAAAGGGCCTCAGGGGCCATTTTATCAAAAATCAAGGAAAGACAATATCTAAATTGTTCCAAATATGATATTCATGACTTTGTGTAATTTTGTTTTCTTTCAAGGTTATAAATCTCCACCCCACCCCCCAACAAAGCTCTAACTGTATCCAGTAGGTTTTGATATAAAGTGCTTTTCTGTGCTCTGTTGGATACTTAATTTGTGATTTCAATTTTGACTTCCTCTTTGAACCAGGAATTATGTAGAAGAGGTTTCTTAATTTTCCAATAATTAGAGGGTTAAAAAAATCTTTTTAATATTGATTTCCTGTTTGAAAGTAAAAAGAAACCTGCTTTGGGAAATTTAACAAGGTTTTCTGTTATGCCAAGTACATGGTTAACTTGTGTATTACATGAATATAAGAAAAAAACCTGTATAGTTTATTGTATTTTTTCAAATCCCTTGTGTCTTTTCTTTAATTATATACTTGAACTGTCAAATTCTGAAAGAATGTTGAAAACATTCCACATTAAAAATGTTTTCATCAATATCTCCTTGTATTTCTGGGATTTTGCTATATATGGCTGCTGTAATGTTTATCTATTAATGTTTATGACTTATACATAACTTGTTAATTAATTTTTCCTCATTACATTTTTCCTCTTTGGCCTTGTTAACGCTTTTGACCTTGAGTTACATTTTAGTTGATATTAATGCTGAGTTTATTTTTTTCCCTTTGTATTTGCTAAGTATATGTTTGCCTTCCCTTAATTTTCAGTCTTTCTTTGTAATTTTGTTTCTGTGTGTTTTCAGAAATACCTTATGTCTGGGTTTCATATTATAACTAGTATCAGAGTCTTTGTCTTTTGATAGGAGAACCTAGTCAGTACACAGTAATTATGCCTGACACACTTGATTTTATGATTTCTATATTTTTCTTTGCTATTCTTTATTGTTCTTTTTAGTTTTACTTTTCTTAATTTTCTTTATCTCTTTATCACACTGTTAATTTTTAAATGATACTATTTTTCATTACACGAGTAGTTTATCACACTTGTTCCTTACTAAATTTTGATTTCTCAACTAATATATAAAAATTACATAATTCCCATGCTCCCGGTACCCCTCCCTTCACAGTTCCTCCCATCCCTACTTACTGGTAGATCTTTCATTTTTCTATTTTGTATTGTACATCCACCGCATCCCCAGCATGTGCATATGCTCATGGACACACATGCTTACATACTTCATTGATGAGATAGTTGGGAATCTTTGCTTCAAACTTTTATTAGGGATTTCCTTTTCTGTTTAAAAAAGTCTTAAGGCATATTATAAATTCCCAGTACCATCGTTAATATCACCCATTTATATTTAACTCTGTTTCTTGCAGTCTCTTATTTTCCCAAATCCTGAGATTCATGTTCTGATTTACTTTTATTTGGTTAGAATAGTTCTATGTATTTCTTCAGATGGGTTCCAAGGGCAGCAACACATTGAATCTTTACTTGCCCCAAAATGTTCTTTTGCATTAAATTATATCATGGCTGGGCATAGAATTCTTGGATCTCACTTCAAGAATTTTCTCAATAGAATATTACTCCAATATTTTCTCAATAGTGCTTTGTCATTTCATTGCCTGCTAATTTAGAGTATAATTTATAAGTTAGATACCAGTTGGATTCAGTTACCACCATAAGTGATCTGGGATTTTTTTCCTGCAAGTTTATAAAATTGTCTCTTTACCCTTGGAGTATTTCAGTAATCTTTTGAGGGTATGTTCAGTTTCATTTGGACTCTTTAACTTAGAGAAATTTCTTTTTATTTTGCCTTTTTTATTATTACTTTTCTTACCCATGTTATTCCCTGTGATATGTTTTCTGCTTCTGAATGTAGTAATGTTTTCATAAGAGCCCCTTGAATCTGTCCCTCAGGTCTTCTATCTTTTTGTTTATAGTTTCTAGTTTTTAATGTTTTTGACTTCATTATGTGACATTTTGTTCCTTTTGCTCACTCACAACATTAGTTTGGTTCTTAGCAGTGATTGCTTACCATATTTTAAAATCCAGGCATCAAATTTTATTTTAGCTTTACTTTTAGAAAGTTGTCTTTTTCTCTATGACTGTATCTCCTTGAGTTACATATGTTTTGTTAAACTTACCCTCTACCATCTCCATTGACTGTGCCATTGGTTTCTGATAGCATGGACTCTCATTCTAGATTCTAGGTTTCAGAATATTCAGTACATTTCTGCTGATTCAAATTGTGCTCACTCATGAGCACAGTTGAGTTTTGTGCTAATCCTATTCTTCAAACTGTGCTAGCAAAGCTTTGTCCAGAACTGGAGTTTTCAGACAGTTCTGCAGACATGTCATGGATGCATCTCAAGCTTTCTACCCACCTCCAAAAGGAGCAAGCTGTATACACTGGGGGGCCCAAAAGGGATCCCTGATCTCCTAAATGATGTTTTATAAAATATTTATGCATTAAAGTTCACACTTTGTGCTATAAAGTTCTATGGGTTCTGACAAAAGCAGTGTCATATCCACCATTACAGTGTCATATAGAATAGTTTCACCAATATATCCCCTGTGCTTCACCTATATAACTCTCCCCTCCCACATCTTTCGAGATAGTTCTGCTGTTCTAAAGGCCAGGATAGTCAAGAAAGTCAACATTACCTCCATTGCCTTGTGGCAGACAGCCTGTGGATGAGTGTCACCCTCTGTCTGGCTGGAAGGTGTCCTACTTACAGTGTTGTAGAACAGGTAAAAGCCAGAAATTCTCCTGTAAACATTGTTAGAATGTACTGTTTGACAGATATTCTTTCCAGGCCCTGTGGTAAATTGAATTCTTGTCCCCCGTTCTTTCTCTCTCCCTATATCCATTTGACTGTGGAACTTTGTAATCCCTCCTACTACAGATGAAGTGTATTTCCCTAGCTTTTGACTGTAAGCTTGGCCATATGAATTGTTTAGCTAGTGGGATGTTAGCAGACATCAGCCTGGGCTGCCCACTGACCCCAGAGGTGGGTGAGAGACCTGTGGAGGAGAGCTACTGCTAGGATCCGAATGTTTGTGTCCCCTAAAATTTATATGTTGACATGCTAGTCCCTCAGATGGTGGTATTAGGAGGTGGTTAGGTCAGGAGGGTGAAGCCTTCATGAATGGGATTAACGCTCTTCTAAACGAGACTCCACAGAGCTCCCTTGCCCCCTCTACCATGTGAGGACACGGAGAAAAGACAACTGTCTATGAACTAGGAAACTCACCAGTCGTGGAATCTGCTGGCACCACCATCTTGTAATACCCAGACTCCAGCACTGTGAGAAATATATGTTGTCTGTAAACTACCCAGTTTATGGTATTTTGTTATAACAGCCCAGACAAACTAACACAGTTACCCTAGCTGACCTGACCTAATGACCCACAAACTATGAGAAATAAATGTTTTTTGTTTAATGCCACTGAGATTAATGTTGCAACAGCTAACTGATACAGGCAGAGTATTTATTTAGGTGAGACGTATCTGGAAACCTCAAAATAAAATGAAAGGCTGGACAGAACAAGTTCACTCTCTTAAAATTTTTAAGTCTAATCCCACTAACAAATACACATTTTAAACAGGAGAGTGTGGCTGTGGTTCTTTTGTATATAAAAACTGATCAAATGGTGAAGGCATCTTAAACACTGAGCCCTAGAAAAGTTCTCATGACCCCAGTAGCCATTGCTGAGTTGAATGTGCCCAAGGATGTGAGTGGCTGCCTCATTATGGTTCCTTCTCAGTGCACGTTGCCAAGACCAGATAAGTCAATGTACTGGACCTGAGTTAATTATGTTGTTCCAGTACCTCCATTATCATAGTTCAAAGAGAGCAGTGTTTCAATACAGACAATGATTCTGAAGTTTTTTCTCTCCTGGTACCCCCTGATGGTGCTTTTTTTTCTTTCTACCCTCTTGCAAAACTACCCCCACCACACACACAACCAAAAAGTACACTGAGGAGATTTCTATGCTTTCCAGACACATCTAGTTTTTGCATTTAATCTCTTGAGGAAATTGTTAGATAAATATGTTTAAACTTGTTCTGTTTTGTTTAAAAAATGCTTTCATGAATGGGAAAGTAGAAAAATGACATTTCTTAACTGAAGATGGCAATAATTTGTAATAAACCACTATGGATCGTATATAGTTGACCCTTGAATGATGTAGGGGCTTAGGGGCGCCAACTGTCCACATAGGCAAAGTCTGCATATTTCTTAAGTCAGCCCTCTGCCTATATGGAATCTCAACTACCAGTTGACCCTTGAACAACATGGGTTTGAACTTTGGGGGTCAATTGAAAAAATCCACATATAAGTTGACCTGCAAAGTCCAAACCCCCTTTGCTCAAGGGTCAATTGTGTGGTTGACTGTTAATTACACAGTAAACCCTTGATTTTTCAGACCTTGATTTACTGGACTTCGGATTTAATGGACAAAATTTCCTACCCATATGTCATGTATGAAAATTAACACCTTGTTTAATTTTAAAATGCTTATAATTAAATTAATAGGTTATTTTTGTTATTAATTCACTATTATTTTTAACAATTTTTAGCAAATAGACCATGTTGAAAAAACACTGTAGTAATTTCACTGACATAAATAAATATTACATATCTACAACTATAGTCTACATATTTAAATCCAAGAGTTACTGCTCATAAACAATGTTGGGTGAATGACTAGCATGTGATCACACCACATCAAGCTCAGTAATTGGTTCTGTTGTGGCCTGGTGAGATCTTCTGCAGCAATTTTAACATGTGCTCCCCACATCCCAAGCTAAGCCTCGCCCCAGCCGTGTGCATTTGTTTACTCTCTGACAGGTGAATACACGCATTTACTAGACCTATTCAGTATAAATTTATAATAACAGTAATACATGTAAAAAACTTTTCTGTGAAATTAAACTTTTCATACATAATTTCAATTATACAAATGTGTCTACATAAGTAAAAACAGGTAAATTAATTTGTCAATTTTTTAACATATGCATTCAGAAAACCTACTTTATTATATAAGGGACTTTTGGCTTTAACAGACAACCCCTCACCTGAATTAGTCCATTATATCAAGGTTTGACTGTGTGTTGAAAATCTCTCTCTACAAGAGGTGCCTGAGTCGGAGCAAGGCTTCTCAACCTTGGCTGCACTTTAGAAGGGTCTGGAGAGATTTCTGTATTCTGATGCCCAGACCACTTCCTGGACCAATGACATCAGAAATTCTGGGGATGGAACCTAGCAGCAGTCTGTGCTGAAGTTCCCCAGGTAATTTCAGTATGCAGCAGAGAGGAATACCCACTGACTAGGGGAATGACCTAATTGGCAAATTGTACCCTCTAGGATTAATAATTCAGTCAAGGTCTAAGCAGGAAACAGCATCCATCCTATTTGTTTCAGATGATGGGGCTTTAATGAAGGGGCTACTTCTGAGGGTGATGTTCACAGAGAGCAGCAATGAAAGGAAGCTTGAAAGGACATTGTGAAGCTCAGTAAGACCCAGATGTATG